TTTTTAACGAATCTTTGCAAATCGCCTTTCCTAATAATGTGCTAATTAGCAAGTTTCAAGATGAATGCAGCTAAAGTAAACAGTCCCTCAGAGAGCAGCTGGGAAGAGAGGGGCGGGGTCAGCAGAGCTCATTAACATTTAAAGGAAAATGCTACAAAACGACATGCTCTCAAAAGAGCTGTTTTTGACAGGGTAAAAAAGGTGTTTTTTTACACTACCATTGAGAAATTTTAACCAAACTATGTTACAGACTTTTCATTAAGACCCTAAAGAATCATATCAACTTGTGGAAAATGGGCATCCGATGACCCCTTTAAAGCGGAATAGACGATCTGTTCGTGCTGCTGCTTCTAACCGAGGCGCTACAACGATCTGTCACTCCACATTAAACAGCGCCAAAACGGCATTTAATATTTGAATATTGCAATAAAATGGACAGAATTTGAAATCTGAGACTTTGTTTCATATCAAAAGTAACAAATCAAGAAGCTTATTGTGATTTATTGGATGGGAGCAGCGGTACAATGTTCGGTTCATTACCTGACAGGCTAGACTAATCGATTCTTGGGATTTATGAATCGATATCGTTTCATAAAAATGAGAATCGATTAAAATCGAGAAATCTGTATTTTTTACCCAGCCCTACATATTACTGTTCAAAAGTTTTGGGGCTGTAAGATTTTTTTATGTTTTTTTTAAGGAAGTCTCTTATATGCTCAAAAGGGCTGAATTGACTTGATCAAAATATAATAAAAACTGTAATATTTGAAATATTATTACAACTATTTTCTATTTTAAAATGTAATTTATTCCAGTGATGGCAAAGCTGAATTTTCAGCACTCATTACTCCAGTCTTCAGTGTCACGTGATACTTCAGAACTCATTCTAATATGCTGATTTGGTCCACAAGAAACGTTTCTTATTATTATCAATGTTGAAAACAGTTGTGCTGCTTAATATTTATCAGGAACTGTAATGATTTTGTTTTAGGATTCTGCTGAATAGAAAGTTAAAAATAACAGCATTTATTTGAAATAGAAATCGTTTGTAACATTATAAAAGTCTGTACTGCAACTTTAGAAACATTTAACATATCCTCCCTGAATAAAAGTATTAATTTCTTTAAAAAAAAAATTTAAAAAAAATCGTAATAATACCAAACTTTTGAATAGTAAATCTCTTATTTCTTTGATATCTTTTACACTCCACTTATTATAATGTAGTTAGGGCCAGAGCATAGTGGAACAACCTGGTAAGAATAAGTACTTTGCCTAATTGCAACACAGCCCTTACGTCCCCTGCAGTCCTCTCCTCAAGAGTGGGCCCTCCAGGTCCAGTGGCCCCTCCCCCACACCCAAACCTCAGCTGCCCCACCTCCTCCTCCCTCTCACCCTCATGCTCTTTTCTCCTGGTTGCCTGGGCAATGCCTAACAATGCCATCATTTCAACAATTTCCACAGAAACAGGTGCTGGCACAATGGCCGCTTCCTTCTGCACTGAAAGAGAAGGTTAGTGAGGTTCATGGGAACTTGGGCGGACAATCTCAGGGCTGTCCAAGTGTCGTCCTTAGGCTCTGACATAAAAGAAGGCTAATTTGTTGTCGCTGTTTTCCCAGGAGGGGGGGAAAGGAGGGGGGACACATTTTTGGGAGAAACAGACCCTGTGATATCAATCTCAGAGTAGCCGAGAGCTATTTTTCTGATGTGCTTGACGTTCAGTGTTTTGCCTATGTGGAATGACACATGTTTTATGTGTGTGATTGTAAGACAAAAAAAGCCAGGACAAGTACAAGAGATGTCATTGCTCTCAGATGTTTCATTGGCTATTTGATGTTGGTGTTCACCTGGTATTTCACACTATTCTTGGTCCTTTCTACCTTCCTCACACCTCAGAACTAAAATACAGGGATTGGGTGCTGGCAGCAAAATAAGTCTGGATTTTTGAGGAAGGGGAGGTTCCCTTTTGCATGGTCCAAAATGAAGTTTTGTGTCAACATGATGACAGTGACAATGACAATGATTGAAATGCTGTTAAAATACTGTATATATATATATATAAACTGTGAGAAACAAACATTTATATATATATATAAATTATTATATTATATATTATAAATGCTTGTTTCTCACAGTTTTTGATAATGCCACATCATTTGCATGCACAATATGTGCTTCATTTTGAAATTCAGGCACAGCTAAATCTCTTCTGGTCATTTCTGGTATTTGAGGAGTTCAGTCTTATTAATCAGTGTCTATTAAGAAGGTCTTGTTTACCTCTATTAGTGGCATTGTTCCCCCCCCCCCCCC